TGTGGTGGTCAATTTTGGCAACAAATTTCATGAATGATATGTAGATACGTTTTCACAGGATATCAATGAATATTATTATAAGTTAGGCACTTTAATGTCAAACTCAGATGTTTGGAGAGTGTTTTGTTACCATACGGACCGCCCAGCTCGGTGAAGATGAGTGTCTGCGGGCAGCTGAGGAGGAAGACTGAAATTTTGTAACTTGTGACAGAAGGAGATACTGACAGTATTGCAGGAAAAAGTTTCTCTGAGTGTCACAGTGTTGCATTCACACCATTCATCCCTCCCATTCACTTGCATCAGGGCTTTGCATCTGCCAAAAAAAGAGAATTAGTGCTGGATTCACAACGTGCAGCACGTATCAGTCATTCCAGGCTTGGCCCTCACAACTCCAGTTTTATTTCCCCTGACTAGTTCCAGTGTTCAACATTGTTCATAGTATCTTGTCAAAAATATAGTGTGTTATTCCTACACTGCATACAGCAAGTGGCAAGATTGGGACCTAAGATAATTTCAGGGCATGTTTAATTTATCTCTAAAGATTCATCCAGAGCACCTCTTACAAAACAGCATGAGAAGAACACTTAAAAGTGCGCAGTCACACCTGAAGGCAAAAATACTGAAAAACTTAACCAGCAACAATACATTTGGGCTTTGGTTTAAATTCCCCTGTAAATGGATCTGTGCCAGCAAACTACTTGTACATAAAAAACCTTCACGGACGCCCTGAGCATGTGCCTGGGCATAAAGACTCTCATGCTCTGCCCTGGCAGAGCCCGGGCCTGCGAACCCTACTGCTGTGCCAGCCGCTGGGTGCGACCCTTGCCACCCTGCGGAATGACTTGTTTGCCCCCCATGACATTTGCCTGCAGCCATCCACTAGCCTTCCTCCTCTTTCGGAGCAGGGGATCACATTTCCCTCCTCTGTCCTGGTACCATACAAGTCAGCTGTGGACATGGGTGCTGCACCCTGGGGCACAGAGACACACCGGTGCAGCCCTGCCGCGAACCCGCTTCGGTGCTGGGCTCCATCAACGTGGGACCCCGAGCCCCCAGCACGCCTGGGTGTGACTTCTGACCCCTCAGACGCGTGGTTGTCATCCCCGGAGGGCGAAGCCGTGGGCAGAAGAAGTTGATACCGGGAGGAATCCGGCTGCCGAAGCAACTCGGGGAGCAAAGAGCCCCCGCCTTGGGTGCGGCCCCTCTCCCCCAGCGCGGGGAGCGCACACGGAAAGCCCCCGCAGAGCCCTGACCGTAGCTCCGACTCCTCCCGGTGGGCACAGCCCCGAGAAACCGGCGGGGCCGGGGCCGGGCTGCACCGCCC